TTGTTGGAATGTAAAAATTATAGGGGGTAAATTGTTGGTAAATCTTCTGAATACAATGTACAAAATATTCTCCAACACCCTGTACAGCCTTTTAAGTACGTACGTGGAAGAAATCCTTGGTGAGTATCAAAGCGGTTTTAGGCCAGGTAGGTCAACAATTGACCAAATTTTTGTGCTACGTCAAATCTTAGAAAAAACCAATGAATTTAATATTGACACGTTCCATCTCTTTGTGGACTTTAAGTCAGCGTATGATAGCGTCCTAAGAGGTAAATTATACGAAGCCATGAATGAACTTACCATTCCCCATAAATTAATAAGGCTCGTAAAAACAACTATAAGTAAAGTGATCTGCAGAGTGCAAATATAAGGAGATATGTCACAAGCGTTTGAAACATATGCAGGGTTACGGCAGGGAGACGCGCTGGCGTGCCTTCTCTTTAATATAGCGTTAGAAAAAAATATAAGAGATGCCGAGTTACACAATAGGGGAACAATCTTTAATAAATCAACGCAGATTATGGCTTACGCTGACGATCTGGATTTGATCGCACGTACTACACGAGGACTTAAAGAGATGACTTCCACCTTCTTGACAGCCGCACAAAATATGGGCCTTAAAATAAACGAGGAAAAAACCAAAATGTTAGCATCTATTCCAAATAACAGAGATAGAGCTAGAAACGCCGAACAAAACTTCAGTATAGACCAATATAATTTTGAGGTAGTAAATAAGTTTACATATTTGGGTTCTCTCATAACAAACGATAATGACAAATCTGAAGAAGTTAAACGGAGGGTACTGCTAGCAAACAAATGTTATTTTGGACTAAGCAAGCAGCTAAAAAACAGAAATTTAAGCCAGAAAACCAAACTAATAATATATCGAACACTCATCCTACCAGTGCTGACATATGGGTCGGAAACATGGACCATATCCAAAACAGACGCAAATCTTCTGCTCGTCTTCGAAAGGAAGATACTAAGAAGAATAATGGGCGCATTCTGTGAGAATGGTATTTGGAGAAGGCGATATAATTTCGAATTGTACGAGAAGTATAAAAAAATAGTAAATGGTAGAGATGTAATATCCTTCATAAAAATAGGTAGGCTTAGATGGGCTGGACATGTGTCAAGAGCAAATGAAAATTACCCACCCAGACGAACTCTATTATCGGTCCCAGTGGGAAATAAGAGTAGAGGCAGACCACGACTGAGATGGAGGGACGGTATGGACGAGGACGCAAGGAAAATCGGCGCGGCAAATGGCAACGGTTGGCGATGAACAGAAACGACTGGTGAAATAGACTGGGGAAGGTCAAGGCTCAACTAGAGCTGTACCACCACTGATGATGATGATGGACACATACCCAAAAGCAGACAAACGTTTTAGAATAATTTACCAACTTCAATGGAACCTGGAGCTTTAGATGATTAAAAAAACTGATTATGACTTTATGTTATTTTTTTATCTTAATAAACTATAACTTTGATTAAGATAAGACTTTTAACTTTACCTTATGTTTATGATTTGTTAGGATTAAATGTCGTATCTATTAAAAGTCTAATTTCAAAAACTCCGAAAGAAAATTGCACGCACTTATTAAATTTGTACTCAAAAAATATATTGCTATGTTGTAACAAGATTTTTAATGAGTCGTTACAGTTGATGGCAATTAATCAAATCTAAAACATCAAATATCTCAAAATAGGGATTTCGTCAGTTACGACTTCTATTCTTAGCAGGGCAGTATGCGTGTATGTGGATTTATTTGAACAAAATATGCACTTATAAAATAATATTCGGTATGAAAGAAAACAAAACTTTACTTTTGACAACAAAACAGACATGGTCAATTATTTAAAAAAACAATAGAAGATGATATGTTGTTTGTTTCTCTCCAACAAAAAGTTACATCTATCTGTATAAATGTTTGTACAGTGTGTCAATTTTAAAACTTACAATGGGCTATATCTCACGAACAAAAGCTGATATCGAAAAATGCTGAAACCGTTTCTAGGATAGTAAGGAAGAAATAAAATTACATGAAAGAGAAATCACCCCCATCAACCTCCTAGGCCCCACCCACTACAACCAAAAAGTGCAAATTATAAACCCCTACTTGTGATACATCATCGAAAAGATTATAAAAAAAGGCTATCCAACGGTATAAATAATAATTATATAGGGTAACGCAATAATTGTGAAACTTTGGCTTAACTGGAAAATTTATTGAGTTTTTTTTTAGTTCTGTCGGTAGAATTTTTTATTTAATAAAAAATACTTTGATTAAAATCTGCCGAGGTTGTGGTGACGGTGGCGCCGAGCGGTCGGGGAAATTTGAGATACGGGGCTAGGGAAATTTGCCCTATTCTCCATAAGACCAGAACAGTTTTTCCCTAGATCTGGGGACAAAAAGTGGGATGAAGCGAGTACCTATCTACTATAACCCTGTAGAATTATTGTTTTATAATTAAACAGGGTGTTAATATAAGCCGGCTTACTATGACTTTTGTATTTGTAATGCTATCTCTTGGATTATTATTTTTAATGATGAGTGCCCGTCGGATTTTTTTTTGTTAAATAAAATCTTAGTTTACCGTTTTTGCAAAACAAGTTGAAAACATCTGTTTTTTGGGTTTTGTCAGATTCAATAATTGGTTTATTTGAGAATTTAAAATGTCATTAATTTTCATTACGTATACGATCGATACTGTCATTCAGCTGTAGTTGTCACAATGATTTACAGTATACCTGAACACGTAGAGACCATTTTTATATTTGCCTCCCAGACCCAGCGTTATTTACGAACAGCTCAAATATTTCATGAAAGGAATCCGGACAAAAATGTGAGTTACGTGTACGTCCGCGATTTAGTTGAAAATTTTAGAGAAACTGGATCAGTGCAATATAAAAAAAGGGATACTCCAAGATTACTGAATGAACATTCAGTAAGCGTCAGAGTCAGAAAGATTGAACATGAAATGTTAAAATTTCTCCCGTACAAACCACAAATTCAAACACAATGATAAATGTACTTTTATTCTGAATGTTGAATGAATGAATATTCTGAAATATGAACCCGCATCGATTTAGAAAAGGTCACACATCCTGAATACACACTTCCACAATATTCTGAAAAACTGAATGTTTGGGCAGAAATATTGGATGATGCCATAATTGGCCTATGTTCATATCAAGTGGCGACATTGATCTCGATATGCTGGAAAACATCATTGAACCTTTAATTACGCATGAATTAAAGAAACAAAGGGACGATTAAGGCAACCTAGCTCTAGCCGAAACCAATACTGAATGAGAACAAATGCCGAGGTCAAACAAATGTATAGTGCTAGCGACGTAGTCCAAGAGATTAAATCTATCAACTAAATCAACGTCTAAAATGGGCTGGCCATGTTCATAGGCTCCCTAATAACCGCCTTACCAAGTTAATCTGGGAAGAAGTCCCGACAGGGAGAAGGCCCTTAGGACGTCCACGAATGCGATGGAGAGATAATATATGGTCAGATTTGAGAACAGTGGGGCTACCCACTGACTTAAACATCATGGACGACCGTTCGAGATGGAAGCAGGTTGTGCAGTCAGCCAAGACCCGCCCGGGGTTGTAGTGCTACCAGAAGAAGAAGAAGAAGCTCTAGCCGAAGATTTTCTGCACTTCTAAGATGGAGCACCTTTTCACTATGCAGCTCCAGTTAGGCACTGGTTGGATACTAATTATTCGAACAAATGGATTGGAAGGAGATGTCCTATTGAGTGGCCATCGAGGTCACCAGACTTAATATTTACTAAAGTTCGTGCAGAATTAAAAAAAAAGGCTGTGGTTATTGTTTACAAAACTACGGAACCCACTTTGAACATTTAATTAATTAGCACTTTTAACAAATTTGTAGTTCAACAAAAACCACATTAAATTTTCTATTTAAGCCAAAGTTTTACAATTATTGCTTCACCCTGTATATTTATTATCTATACCATTGAATAGCATTTTTATAGTCTTTTTAATGATGTATGACAAGTAGGGGTTTGCAATTAAAACTTTTTTAGTTGTGAAGGGTGCCTAGGGGGTTGATGGGGTTGAGTTCTCTTTCACGTCATTTTAGTTCCCATTTTCATGTTCGATATCAGATTTTTTTCGTGAAATATAGCCCCCATTGTAAGTTTTAAAATTGACACACTGTATATAGAAAAGCTCCGTTCTAAATTCACCGAAGATATCGGAGCATATTTAAAATAATGTAAAACTTCAGCATATACATTTAATGTTTTATCAAATATTCCAGTATTAAGATACTTGCAACCTTTTATAAAAATACGAAAAAAGTATTTTTATCAATTACTTATATAAATTTTTTACAAATGTCTTCGCAAATTTGTCCTTTTATAGTTTTACAAGATATTAAAAATTGTTTTAATATTTTAGTTGCTACAATTACAGATAAACTTGCATCCTGTAGCTTAAGGATACAACTTAAACATGAAGGGCTTAATGTGAATGAATGAACAATGACAAGCCACAAATGACTTCAAAAAGAGTTAGTGGTATGCTCGGTTAAAGTAATAGTATAACAAGCCACTAAAAAATTATTTCAGTACTTGGTTAATAGATGATATATAGACGATTAAATTATATATTTTTGAAATAGTAAGGAAAGTATTGAAGTTAGTTCAAGATATGACTCTTGCTGAGAGTTTTCTGTAGCTGACTTACAATAACTTCACTTTTACACATACATTAATTTACATTATTTAATGATTAATCATCTTCCAAGTAAAGCAATGAATGTCTATATCATCTGTTCTACAGTGACTAATACCTAGTTGATGCTGTCAAAGATTATAGTTTTAATTACCGTAAGGACGACTATCTTTGTAATCTCTTATCATCAAGACATATTACTGTCGCTTGATAACAGCGTCGCCTTTCTGGGAAATTTAATATTATGATTTTACGTTAAGTTTATTATTTGTCTTTACTTACTGGAACATCTGGATTTGCAGTGGTGTTTTTGTTTAAGTCTGTCATGGCGACCATGGCCATAGAAAGTTGTGCGCGCATACCAATGATGACGGTTGTAAGTAAAAAAAGAAGTCCAGCTTCAACATGACGGATACCCAACTTTGATACTAAAAGAAGTAAATGTAATTAATAATTAAAATATAAGCCTTCTAGCACTCATGCTAAAAAATATATAAAATAAAAATTAAATAAAAACAATAACATTTAGTCTTCTAAAGCTCTGGATGGATTAGGAAATGCCGAAAGGTCTTAATTCCAATGAAAGAAAAATCCAAATCTGCAACCTCTACGTGGTAGAAGATGGGCAACATCTTTCTATACATGGCCAATGCAGATAGGGACCGAGTGACTGCTGGTATAAGCAGTCTTCCACTTATTGTCCAACGGCTTCGGGCAGATAAGTTGGTGAGTGGTAGGGCACTCTGTTGTCCTAAAACCGAGAAATCGGTCTCAAAGGCGGAGGAACCAAGAAATGGTCAACGGCATCAGGATGTAGAAGGCCAGGAGAAACCACTACAATAAAGATCCTTGTGGATATCTCTAGTACAGCTTCCAATGACAGAGGAAGAAAGTATAAATACTGTTAATGATCATGGACTTCGGAATCCAAGATCCGGCAGGAGAGGAGGATCACAACCAGACCACGGGGCCTCTCAGGTCGTAAACCCCGTATCGTGGAAGTCCACAAGATAGCTACTAGGAATGTCACAACTGTGTTTGAAGGCGCGAAGTTACACAATATTCAGCTGAAAATGGCCAGACTAGACATTCCTATCCTAGGTATCTGTGAGACGAAATGGCTAGGGTCAAACATATTCGAGAGCAATAGATACATTGTCTGTCACTCGGGAAAGGCAGAAGAACCTAGACGTAAGGGGGTCGCAATTATTGTCAAAGAAGAGATTCGTAATTGTATTAAAAATTTCGTTCCTTTCAATGATCGCATCATGATGACACAGCTGCAAAATAAATTAAAAAATATTAATATAATACAAGTTTATGCACCAACAGCTGCGGAGCATAAAAAACATGAAGTTACGATTATTATGGGAGACTTCGACGCAAAAGTTGGTGCCGAAATAACACAAGATATAAACGGAAAGTATGGACTTGTAGAAAGGAATGAAAGAGGACAGAGACTAATGTAGTTCTGTCAAGAAGAGAATTGCATTATAGCAAATACTTTGTTTCAATAACCTAAAAGACGACTATATACCTGGAAATCTCCAGCTGAGCAAGAAGGAAAGGAAGTCAGACATCAAATCGACTACATTATCATTAACAGAAGGTTTAGAAACAGTATTACATATGCAAAAACATTCCCAAGTGCAGACGCAGCAACTAATCATAAACCCCGACAGCTCAGAAAAATCATAATAATCGACTCCTAAGAAATGCCGTAATAGCTGATGAGTTCGGAAATAAGATAAATCATGAGATTAAAAAGAAGCTCGAGAGATATGAACAAGAAAATATCGTACAAAATATAGATATAATGAATTCCGCCATGGTTACCGTAGCAGACGAAGTTTTAAAATCAGAAAAAAAGCCAGTAAAGAAAAAGGATTGGATAACCGATAACATACTCAACCTTATTCAGCATAGAAGAAATTGTAAAAATAAAGATGAGACTCAATATAGAGAAATATATCGACAAATAAGATATGTGGTTAAGCGAGCAAAAGAGGACTGGATGGAACAGAGATGTCGTGAGATGGAAGAACTACAAAGAAAACATGATGAGTTTAATATACACAAAAAACTTAAAGAAATTACCTACACTCAGAGACAAAGAACTCCTCACTTTATAAGAAACTCCAAAGGTAAAATTATTCTCGACTTAAACAAAAAAAAGGAAGAATGGACCAACTACATAAAAGAGCTCTTCCTGGATATGACGCCACCACTTAACGCCACAAAGTATACGAATACTGGTCTTACTATATTAAAAGCAGAAGTAGAGAAAGCCATCAAACAAAGCAAAAATGGGAAATCTCCAGGCCCGGACCACATACCATCAAACTGGCTCAAACTTCTAAATGATGACAATGTCTCAGAACTAACAAACATTTTTAACCACATATACGAAACTGGAACACTGCCACAAATATGGTTGGAGTCTACATTTATCCTCCTTCCAAAAAACCTAATACATCATCATGTAAAGACTTTAGACTAATTAGCCTCATGAGTCACGCTCTTAAGCTACTTCTTAGGATAATTCTTAATTAAATCAACAGAAATGTGAAGACATAATGAGAAATAAACAATTCGGTTTCAGAGAGGGATTGGAAACAAGTGAAGCTTTGTTCTCAATGCTAACACTACTTCAACTATCATGGGAAGTACAGAAAAAAATTTACGTCTGTTTTATAGATTTTGAGAAGGCTTTTGATAAGGTTCAACATGGTAGGCTGTTTGAAGATCTAGATATAATTGGAATAGATGATAAAGATCTGATACTTTTACAACATCTATATTGGAATCAAGAAGCTTCTATTCTGGTAGACGGCAAAGAAACAGACAAAATTTGTATTCAAAGAGGTGTTAGACAGGGTTGTGTGTTGTCCTCAACTTTGTTTAACGTTAACTCAGAAATTATTTTTAACAAAGCCTTGGAAGGGCAATGTGGAGTTCGAATCGGGAGAGAAACTATCAATAACATCATATATGCAGATGACACCGCAATCATGGCTGAAAGAATCGAAGATCTTTAATTCCTTATAGATCGAGTCAATAGAGAATGCTTTAATAACGGACTAAGCATATTTACAACAAAGACAAAGTTACTTGTGGTTAGTAAACAAGACCTCGGCGCTATACAACTAATTGTCAATAATGAACCGATAACAAAAGTTAACCATTTTAAATATCTAGGATATTGGATAAACGAGACACTAAATCCGGATGAAGAAACTAAAACTCGTATAGAAATTGCAAGAGGAGCATTTATAAAACTTAGATCTATTCTGAGCAATTCTTAGCTGAACTTACAGCTGAGAATTAAGTTCCTAAAATGTTATGTGTATCCTGTATTACTGTATGGATGTGAAACCTGGATTATGAAGGTTAACATGATGTGGATAACAGTAACATGTGAAAGATAACTTCGAGATGTGGTTATATCGTAGAATGTTCAGAATATCATAGGTTCAATACATTTCAAACAGAGAAGTCTTGAACAGAGTAGGTCAAGGTAAAGGTGACTTAATAAAGATGATAAAAAAGAGAAAACTCGAATATCTGGGGCATATAATGAGAGGAAGCAGATACAGGATAATGCAGTTGATATTCAACGGAAAGATTGACGGAAGAAGGGGAATTGGCAAAAAGAAATACTCATGGCTACCAAACCTTCGTCAATGGACTGGCTTATCAGAAGATGAATTATTATATGCCGCGCAAGATCTAGAACGATATCGGCAAATCGTCATGGAAGCTACCCACGTCTAACACTTGGGCACGGTACTCAAAGAAGAAAAATAACATTCAAACTCGATTTATTTAAGGGCTTACTCGATGGCAAGACAGCAAATATGATTCTTCTTCTTCTTTGAGTGTCTCTCATATCGAAGATTGGAGATCATTATGGCGATTCTAATTTTATTTACTACTGTTTTGAATAATTCGTTAGTGGTATAGCCAAACCACTCTCTTAAATTTCTTATCCAGGACATTCTTCTACGGCCTGGATTTCTGCGTCCTTGGATTTTTCCTTGTATTATATTTTGTAGGAATGTGTACTTTTTTCCTCTAATCAGATGGCCTACGTATTCAAGTTTTCTCTTTTTTATGTTCATGATAACTTCTGGTTCGTTATTTATTCTTTGTATAACAAATATGATTAGTTATACATAAATTAGTTAAAATGCACCAAAATGTTGTGGTATTGCTGACAAGCAGTATTCCCTTCAATAACTTATCTAATTAGATCATTCGGGAAGGGGATTAATTGAGTTCTAAAATGAATACTATCAAAACGAAGATAGTGATTATTAGTAAGAGAAATACTCCATTACCAGGCATAAAAATGTAGAGTCAAAATGAAGAAATTGTGAAAAAGTTTAAATACTTAGGTTACTGGTTAACATCGTAACTAGTCATTCGTCATCAATTTACGCTTACGTTTCGTTTACTGCCCTGTTTACAAAGTTCTCTGAAAGGGCTTTGAAAGGTGTAAATATGTAAATACGAAAAAAAAAACTTTATACAAAATAAAACACTGAAAACTTTGTTTTCAAACTTCCACAAAATTTATTTTAACTATTATCACTATAGCTGTTTCGGCTGATTGCCTTTCTCAAGTGATCTATTTTTGGCTTGGGTTTACAAATTTATAGTCTCTAATGAAATATGTTGAGGAGGGAAGAACTGTTTGTCTCAAGTTGGTCATTCAGAATTATATCTGTGTTTTTTAATTTGTTGATTTCCATAGATTCTAACAAAGATAGTTATATACTTACATAGATTACATAGTTACATAGATTCTAACAAAGATAGTTATATACTTACATAGATTACATAGTTACATAGATTCTAACAAAGATGTTAGAATCTATGGAAATCAACAAATTAAAAAACACAGATATAATTCTGAATGACCAACTTGAGACAAACAGTTCTCCCCTCCTCAACCTATTTCATTAGAGACTATAAATTTGTAAACCCAAGCCAAAAATAGATCACTTGAGAAAGGCAATCAGCCGAAACAGCTGTAGTGATAATAGTTTAAATAAATTTTGTGGAAGTTTGAAAACAAAGTTTTCAGTGTTTTATTGTTACATAAAATGAATTTCCATCAAGTAACGGTCGAATCCATCAATTGTTTAAAACTTTATACCTTGGCTGTGTTATCAGAAATTTTGGATCAAAGCTTTTGAACGGACAATAGAAGGTAAAATGGATTTTTTTAATGGATCAACTACGTACTTATAGTACCAAGTAAACAAACGGTAAATAACATTAAATAAACAATAATAAATGAAAAACTTATTACAAAAATAATGAAGATCTACTGATACAAAAGTACGAAGCAAAATATAAACAAAGGTAAAATAAAGGCATTAATAATTCAAATAAATAGCTAGCAACTAAATTATACAGGGTG